AAAAAAGAGTGGAAAAAGTTGATAGACAGAAAACTTACGACAGATATAATATTAAAAAAATAAAGTTTAAAGTGAATATAGTAGTTTTTTTCCTAAAACCTAATAATTGAAGCTGTAAAATAGTGAAGAGTTAAAGCAACAGAAAATAGAATAGAAGAAGGAAAAAAACAACACGAACAAGAACAGAACCTGTTGACCTTAGAATATCGGTGATAAAATGAAAAGATGCCACTAGCAGAGAAATAGTTTGCCTATTTTTGACTTGCTTATTAGTTCAAAGTGTTGTTTTGATAGAAACTTGAATAGCTGTGCCTTAAAAAAGCTATAATTTTCTGTAAAAATATGCTGCTTTTGTGTTATCAGTTATATTTGCGGTTTAGATGTCACACTCATTAACATCAATTGATGTATCCGACTAACAAAAACAACATCAATAAGCAACTTTTTTTTTTCTTTAAAACCTTCGAAAATAATATTTTTTTATTGTCCAAATACGAACACAACAATTTTTTGTGCGTGTTTTTCAAATGGCATCGAAAATTTTTGTAGAAAAAAGATGACCAGAAAATTTTTGTTGTTGCTGTTGTTGTTGACGACGATGACCAAAAGAAAAGCAGATGTATCACTGGAAAACAACCAAAAATTGGGGGACAGAAAAAGAAGAAGCAAAAAAAGGAAAAACACTTTGTATTCAGTTATGTCATTATTTTGGTGTTTTTCAAAATACACTGAAAAACACCGATAGCCAAATTAAACATTGATAATATTTGAAAAAAAAAAGGTTTTTTTTTTGTCTACTGTAACAGATTACTCTTTTTTTTTTGGTCTTTTTCTATTTTTTTTAATCACTTTTTCGCATACATTTGTTGTTACTGTACAAAACCAATATATCCGAGTAATCAAAGATACAAAAAGACAACAGACGAACACAAAACAAGCGACGTCTATGAATATGATACAATCAGTCTATCTGTAACAGATGTGAACTGCTTAGCTTAAAGAAAACAAAAAAAGATTCTTTAAGAATTTACAAAAAAAAATCGAACTATTCTTTCCTTTTTTTTCTACTACTTTTTTTTCTTTTGTTTTACCTGTTTATAGCATATTTGCAGTTAGAAGTAAAGTGTCAAATTATTTTCGAAACCAAAACAAAACAAAAGCAGTTTGCTGAAAACGGGGAGTGTGATAACAAATGACTGCAATCTACAACTTTGGGTCTATCAATTACTTCAACAAGAATCTTAGCATAGACCATCGCTCTACAAGATTCTTCCGGTTTCTGCAGTAATTTCTACCTCAGTAAACACTTGTCGTTGTAATTTGATATCTCTGTATTTTTGTTCTCTTACTCGAAGTGTTTATCACATTCACAATTTACAGTATTCTTTTGATTCACTAATACGGCGACATTCCTCACAGATTCTTCTTACAATGTAAAAACTAATAAATTGGTAAGTTCACAAAATTTAGTTTTCAATTTCTTAATGATATTATTCAACAGTTAATTGGTATTTTGATATAAAATTGTATGAACCTCTCAGTTCTTAAAGCTGTTTTATTAATGCTGCTTTTTCAAAAAATAGGAGAGCCACTATGCCCTGCATAAAGTTTCGGGTGACAAGATAAGATTATTTCTCAGGAAAGGACAGTTGATGACCTAAAAATGTTCAATATAAAAAGCAACAAAATTATGTCTTCTGAACAACTGTTACTTTTAAAAGACAATAGTTGTTCCAAAAACATTTGAGAAACAGTTGTACAAAAAGCAAAAAGTTATTGTTTTTTGTTGTTTTGCTGACAAAAACGGATAAAATACATATATCTTCAAGAAACTGAGCAATCGTATATCATCGTATATCAGAAAAAAAAGATAGCTCTAGTAAAAACAGTGACTGTTGGTTCATAAAGGTG